CCGCCCTGCTGCCCGGCCTGCCCGGCCTGCCCGGCCTGCCCGCACTGCCGCGTCAATGGGGGGTTCTGTGACATATCGCTGTCAGACGGTAGTTGCTCAGCGCAAACAGCGCGGTGGGGCCCCTCACTTCCTGCAGCACTGTGTCCGAGACTGTGTGTGTGTGCGTGCGCCAACACGGGCCGTGGAGGGTGCCAAGGCGGTGCCAAGGCGCCTTATCGCCCGCATTGTGAAACCGAGCGAACGGCAGCCAGCAGATAATGCGGTGCTTTCGGGTGCCATTCAAACTGGGGCCGCGCCATTGGCTGGACCCACTGGCTGGACGCGCGCGCCGCGCCGGCCGCCAGCGCCGCCGCGCCACGCCCCGCCACGCCCCGCCACGCCCCGCCACGCCCCGCCACGCCCCACAGGCCCAGCCAGCCCGATTGACCCAGTTCCCTCGGGTCCTCCTCAGTCCTCTGCGGACACCGCGAGGCCCGTTGGCATCTTCAGCCTTACGGCGGGGCTGGCGGGGCTGGCGGCGCTCCTCCGCACCTGCCCGGGGCCCGGGGCTGGCCGGCCGCACCGTCTTCACTGCCGACGAGGCCCCAAACAGCCGGCGGTCCACTTCGGCGGCCCACGGCCCCGCCTGCAGACTAATTCCGAGAGTCCTTTTCGCCGCTCCGTCTCTCTCGCGCCTATACGGGCCGCTCCATGAGTGCGAGAGAGACAGAGCGACGAAAGGGTCTCTCCAGTCTGCCGGCCGGCCGGCCCGTTACAGTAGTGTCCTCACTGATAATAAGCGGTCTGGCCGGGCAGGCTGGCCTCGCTGGCCGCGGAAGCGCGCGCCGCGGCGGAATCACGATTATTAGAGCCAATCAATTAATAAAATGCGATGCGGGTCGCGGCCTGGATCGGGCCGGATATGCAGGGCGTCTCATTTCTGTCATTGGCCGGCGAGCAGCGCGGCGGACTGAGTGATTCAGAGCGGGCGGCTGTCTCTCTCGCACTCGAGGAGGGTTTCCGCGTGTGCGTGCGAGAGAGACGGGGCGACCCGGGGCCCCACGCGTTCGGAATATAAGCCTGGTGGCCGCGGTCGGACGAGGCGGAAGGCAGGGAATTGGGCACCCCCGAGAGAAAGAGAGAAAGACAGAAAGAGAGAGGGGCACTGCAGAAGGGATTCCTTTCCTTCCCTGCCAAGGCTGCGGCCAGGCTGCTGGCCGTTCACATGCAAATAGGATTAAATAGGCCCCGCGCATGTTGTAGGTTTGTTAGTCTGGATGTTGGCGTGTCCCCTTTCATGCCCGCTCGCCCGCTGCACTGTAGTGCAGTGCACAGTGCAGTGCACGGCGCGGACGCGGACAAGCAAGGCATAGCCAAGCAGCCCGGGCCGCGCCGCCCCGTCGGCCCGCCTTGCCCCGTCCACCCCGGCCAGGAGGAGCAGGCAACACTTCCACTAATATCTCCCGCCACTCCCCGCCACTGTGAATAGTAATGCCGCTCGAATTTGTCCCTGTCGTCCGGGCGGCCCTTTTCTCCCTTCAGCCTTCGGCCTCGCCGCGTGCCCTACGCCTTGGACCGAGCCTTGGACCCTACACTGCCCTCGACCCGACAATGTGGACATTACGATGCGAGTGTCTCTGGGCCAGGGGCGAGGCCAGGGGCGCCCGGCCAGGAGAAGGGTTTTCGTTCAGGAGAAACAAATCCATTTGGTTTTACAGAGGCAGCCCAAAGGACACTTTCTTCGGGCGGAAAAAAAGTGTAGGCACTCCTCACGTTCAAACAGGGATTTCAGAGCAGCAGCAAAAACAACAAGATTCATTCGGTGGGCGGCGGCTATTCTACTTACAATCACGTGACGTGTTGACACTCTCACGCTGCTGCTCGCGTGAGCCAGTCTAGTCTGCGGGACTGGGCAGGCCGGGTCCAAGGCCCGAGTGCTTGCTCTTCCAAGGGCCGCTGCTTGCCGGCTTGCCCGAGGGCGGCCTCCCTTCACCGACACGGACAGAGAGGCAGGGATACGGAGAGCGACGCAGCGCCGCGCAGCGCCGCGCAGCGCGGTGCGTTGGCCGGCTCAAGACTCGCGGCCTTGCCGCCTAGCCGCCGTGCCGCCGTGCCACTGTCAAAGCGGCTTGGCCGTGCCGTGTGGATCCCATTCCGATTATTCTGCTCCCTCTCCCCCCTCTAGCTCTTGCTGCTGGTTCCCTCCTGCCGCGCGACACGTCCGCTGTCATGTCGTGTCGCGGCGTGGTGGTGGCGGCGCTGCAGTGGAGGTCACGGGCGGGCACACACACACAGTCACACACACACATGAGCGCAAGTCAAGGGACCTCAACGCGCGAGTGGAACGAGGGCTTCATGGCGACGTTCGCCCGGCGCGCGGTTCAACAAGCGTCCGTCCCTCGAGGACCTCGAGGACGATGGTGGCGCCGATGGCCGGGAGGAGAGGGCACGGTGGCGCGGGGACGGGGGACAGTCAGTCGTGCCACCGAAAGGCTATATCACAAAGAGGTAAAATTGGTTACGACGTTGTGAGAAGTTTCTTTTCATCGGCCGATGGGCTTCCAGGCTTTCGTTTCGCTGCAAGCTTCGGGGGTCCTGTTCGGCCTCGGCCCCGTTTGCCCTTTGCGACCCGTTGTCGGCGACCTGGCGGACCGTCGTGCGGCTCATTAAGACGCAGCTAATCAACACATTAACGAAACGGAAGGAGAAGTGTGACGCCTAGCGGTCCCGGAGTCCGGGACGCCGGGACGCCGGGACGCCGGGACGCCGGGACGCCGGGACGCCGCGACGCCGGGACGCCGGGACGCCGCGACGGCAGGAGCGTGCGCCGCGCGGCCCGCTTCCCCGCTTGAGAGGTCGCCGTCGAAGGCAGAAAGGCACGCGGAGACAAACCGCCGGCCCTTTAATTGAATCCTGTTTCCGGGTGAGTCCCAGACCCCGACAAGACCCTTCGACCCTTCTTCGCGGGGCCCCGCAGCCTGCAGCCGGCTGCACACCGCAAGGGCCGGGTCACGACTGCCCTACAGACCTCACACCCCACTGGTAACTTTACCCACACTGACCCCGCCGGCACGGCCGGTACGGCCAGCACGGCACCGCGCTCAGGTGGCCACTCCACTCCAAAATTGGCGGCCAGGCGAGAACGAGGTGGCCGCCGCGGCGCGCCGCGACGCCGGGGGTCTGGGCGAGCTGCACCGAGAGTGCTTTTCGTCGCTCTGTCTCTCTCGCACCCACACGGCACGCCCCATGAGCGCAAGCGAGAGAGACAGTGCGACGACTCCTCGGAGTCAGTCTGCTGCTCGCTGGCGAGGCTTGCAGTGCAGGGTGAACCTTGCTGGGCTCGCGGGCCGCCGCGGGCACTGCCCTTCCGAGGCGTCAAATCCGTTACCGGACAAGCACTGCCAATAGCTGCAGTCTGCAGTATTGGCAGCGGGGCACAATGGGCAGTAAAGCGGAGCGTGTATAGGGCATGGCGGGCACGCCACGCCACGCCACGCCACGCCAGGCTGTCCCGAGGGTTCTTTAGAGCCAGTCCGGGCGGCCGCCTTTAGTCTCGGCGGACGGGACGGACGATGTCCAAAAGCTGTTAAGTCTAGTCACTAGACCCCAGTGCCTCAAGGCCAAGGCCCCGAGGCTGCACCAAAGACCGGGACAAACGATAAGAACGCCGCGATCCAGCGTCCACCAAACACGAAACGCCATTCAAACATTTTGTCTTTTACAGTGGCCATGAATAAATATTTTTTGGACGATCGGGCCGAAATGCATACTGCGTCCAAAGGCTGCAGCCCGTGGACAAAGGGCGGCCAAGTCTGGAGCCGAGGCAGGTCGAGGGTCACTGTCGGTCACAGCCAGTCACAAAACAGTCGGTGGAGCGAACGGCCGGAGGAACGCTCCATGGAACGCCCCGTGGAACGCCCCGTGGAACGCCCCGTGGAACGCCCCGTGGAACGCCCCGTGGAACGCCCCGTGGAACGCCCCGTGGAACGCCCCGTGGAACGCCCCGTGGAACGCCCCGTGGAACGCCCCGTGGAACGCCCCGTCTGGGCGCGTGATACATGCCCCTGCCGCGCTGCCACGCCACGGGCCAATAGTGGCTGCAAACATGCAACTGTGTGGAATGCGGCAATGGGCTGCAACAGCGACCCAAGTCAATGTGAAGGCTGGGCCGCTGGGTCGCGCCACGCCACGCTCAGCTCAACGAGCTCAGCACTATACGACGTGCTGCAAAGTGCGGCCCTGCACCACAAAAACACATAAACGGGATGCTTTGCGGCGCCTTTTTTTTGTCGCTGCCGACGGCCGGCAGCCCGTCATAGCGCGGCGACGTGCGTGCGACACGCCGGCCGTGCCGGAGGTGAAGCATGGCCTGTTCGTGTTCCCGGAGCGAGGCACGGCAGGCACGGCGTCGGGTAGGCAACCCGGCGGGCGTCGGCGCGCGCCTCCGGGGCGGCTGCCTACCCCGCACGGCGGCCCGAGGGCCTCGGCGACGGTGCCATGGCGGTGCCATGCATGCCGGCCATGTCGGGTAACGGGTCGGATGCTTCCAGGAAGGGCGCCGCCAAGGCGAACGACTAATGAGCTCGCCGATGATCCCATCCTGGGGACGGCGACGACGACGGCGACAATGGAAGCCGCCGGCAGGGTAACGGCGAGCACGTCGTTCCGGAGTCCGGAGGGCGACGGTTGCCGCGCCGGCCGGCGGATCGGCGGATCGGGCTTGGGGCCGCGAGGTTGTTCCAGGTCAGGCTCCGTCTCCGTGAGGCGCGGCGAGGCGAGGCGGGGTCGGCTCGGCGCCGCGGAAGGCCCCGGGCGACCCACGAGCGGCGGACCCTGCACGGCTCTCTTCCTTCCTGGTGTCCGCGATTACCATCCGCCAAACGCTCCGTTAAAAAACGCGGCGGGGACACCGCGTCGTGCACCGCCTGCTGTAACGTCCACTTTCGTCCGTTACTTGTTTAAATTTCCCGCTCTACTACTGTCCTCTGAATTTTCCATACCTCGTTCCGTTTCTATCCTCTTTTCGACTTCGGTTCGTTCTTTACTATTTTTCATACTGTCACCAGAAGTTTTCGCCCTTCCGTATTTTCTGGGTTCTGTCATTCAGCTGGGGACTTTCGTTCTGTTAACAACTTCCAGTGCTCGCTTCGGCGGCCTGGCTAAGTTCGTCATGTAGTCCCACTGTTTCCCTAACCCGAGAGGTCTCATCTAGTTTTAACAACTTAGTATAATCTGTACTTTGTCCTCGGTGAGTTTGTCTGTGGCCTGTTCCACTCTTGTTGTCGTTAACTTGGAGGTTATGTTGCCCATGGTTTGCCATGCTTTGGCCTGCTCCTAGCTTACCTGCATTGTGTATTTTCAGGGTTTTGTATCTGGTTCGTCACACTGTGCGTTGAGGTCATTCTCCGCCATGTGTTCCTTCACTCCAAGATCAGGAGCAGCAAACTTGTGTAGTGAAGTGATGTGAATATGGACAAACCTTCTGAGTGAGAAGTTCGCAGTCAGTGCTGTGATTATGTGTTTTAATAATAAGTCTGTACTTCAGTAAGTCTGTGTTTTAGATTAGTAGTCCAAAGTTCTGAATATGTTTGCAAGTAGCAAAACGGATCTGTTCAAATCATGTAGTCTTTTCGTTGAGACATTTTGAGTTTGCGTTCACCTGGGTATTGGACCAATCTTGCCCAGTGTGTTTTAGTCATACCTTGGGAGAGGTTATCTTTGCACTCTTCAGTGAGTTAGTTAAGTTCTGATGATTTGTTTGAATTTGTACGGTTCTTATTCGAGCTGTTGTTATTCTGTTGAAGCCAGTGCCCATGGCGTGCCCGTGCTGATTTTAATTTAGTTCTGTTTGTGAGTGCCGTTGGTTCGGTTTTTTGGTATTTGTGATTATGTGTATGCATATGAGTATGGATTTGTATGGGCTTGAGTTTTGCCCTTTGTGTGAGTTCTGTGCTTGAGTTAAGTGTGATCTGTCCGTTATTAAAATGGTTGTTTCTGTTATTGTTAAATCGGTGTTCAGTTCAAGTAGCCTATTTCCTTTGATGGTGACTTTGTCGCCTGGCGCCCAAACATTTGTGAGATTATAAAGTCAAAGTTGATCACCCTCACCCACTCTACATCTAAGGCTTGCCGGTGCCTCCGTTTAACAATATTCAGTTTTAGTCTGTCAGTAATTATGAGGCTACATTTTGGCGCCCAACGTGGGGCTGGCTTTGTCCGTCCTTGTTTGTGTTTGTATTCTTAAGTTCCTAAACTTGTGTTAAGTTAGTTATAGTAAGTTTCTTAGTGTAAGTAGTTTTCAGTTAAACATGCATATAATTATAGACTGAGTGCAAATACAAGGATCAATTATTTTATACTGTACATGTTCTTTAGTTTTAAGTCAATTGTTTTGAGTGAGTGTGTCGAACCTTGTCTTACTTTGGGCTTTCTGCCTGCGTGTTTGTCCTACATGGACTTTGGGAGTTCACAGTGACTGTTGGCATTGTGCCTTCTCCGTGTTCATCCCACTGATTGGTTTCATTGCCCTATCATGACCTTCCGTCATTTCTGCCTATTGTAACTTAACCTTTTGTTCTTGGCGTGTGGCTGGTGTATTTGTATTTGATGTGTGTAAATGCTCTATCCCAGGTGGATCAATGTTTTGCGCTTGTCCATGGTGTTCTACAATATGAGTTCACAGTGTAATGTATTTTCAATTTCCCCCAATTTTATATTGTGTGGGTCCATTTGCTGTGTTCCTCAGTTCATTGTGTTTCCTTGTGTGGTATGACGCCTTGCGCTTCCATGTCGTCAGTTTAACCCCCTTGTGTGATGCAGCTAGTTCGGTTTGAACTTCTGTTACTATCACTTTTATTTTTTGCCCTAGTTTTATAACTTTTACGTTAGTTGTGTCCAGACTAATGTTTCAAGTGTTTTGGGGTTATTTTCTTTAATACAGTCATGTCTAGCTGTGCGCTATGTTCTGAGTAGCTCAGCTTTCTTCAGTAAAGTTCTCCCAGTTGTTTACTATGGTATGAGGCTCCACTGTAGGAAGGGGGGGATGTAACGTCCACTTTCGTCCGTTACTTGTTTAAATTTCCCGCTCTACTACTGTCCTCTGAATTTTCCATACCTCGTTCCGTTTCGATCCTCTTTTCGACTTCGGTTCGTTCTTTACTATTTTTCATACTGTCACCAGAAGTTTTCGCCCTTCCGTATTTTCTGGGTTCTGTCATTCAGCTGGGGACTTTCGTTCTGTTAACAACTTCCAGTGCTCGCTTCGGCGGCCTGGCTAAGTTCGTCATGTAGTCCCACTGTTTCCCTAACCCGAGAGGTCTCATCTAGTTTTAACAACTTAGTATAATCTGTACTTTGTCCTCGGTGAGTTTGTCTGTGGCCTGTTCCACTCTTGTTGTCGTTAACTTGGAGGTTATGTTGCCCATGGTTTGCCATGCTTTGGCCTGCTCCTAGCTTACCTGCATTGTGTATTTTCAGGGTTTTGTATCTGGTTCGTCACACTGTGCGTTGAGGTCATTCTCCGCCATGTGTTCCTTCACTCCAAGATCAGGAGCAGCAAACTTGTGTAGTGAAGTGATGTGAATATGGACAAATCTTCTGAGTGAGAAGTTCGCAGTCAGTGCTGTGATTATGTGTTTTAATAATAAGTCTGTACTTCAGTAAGTCTGTGTTTTAGATTAGTAGTCCAAAGTTCTGAATATGTTTGCAAGTAGCAAAACGGATCTGTTCAAATCATGTAGTCTTTTCGTTGAGACATTTTGAGTTTGCGTTCACCTGGGTATTGGACCAATCTTGCCCAGTGTGTTTTAGTCATACCTTGGGAGAGGTTATCTTTGCACTCTTCAGTGAGTTAGTTAAGTTCTGATGATTTGTTTGAATTTGTACGGTTCTTATTCGAGCTGTTGTTATTCTGTTGAAGCCAGTGCCCATGGCGTGCCCGTGCTGATTTTAATTTAGTTCTGTTTGTGAGTGCCGTTGGTTCGGTTTTTTGGTATTTGTGATTATGTGTATGCATATGAGTATGGATTTGTATGGGCTTGAGTTTTGCCCTTTGTGTGAGTTCTGTGCTTGAGTTAAGTGTGATCTGTCCGTTATTAAAATGGTTGTTTCTGTTATTGTTAAATCGGTGTTCAGTTCAAGTAGCCTATTTCCTTTGATGGTGACTTTGTCGCCTGGCGCCCAAACATTTGTGAGATTATAAAGTCAAAGTTGATCACCCTCACCCACTCTACATCTAAGGCTTGCCGGTGCCTCCGTTTAACAATATTCAGTTTTAGTCTGTCAGTAATTATGAGGCTACACTGCCCGGCCAGCCCGCCCGACCTGCCCGCCCGACCTGCCCGCGGTGACTGATGCGTTTCGGATGCAGGTGCGCCGATATCTACCATCGTAACTTTTGGATCAGCGGCGAGCGGGGCAGCCGCAGCGGCAGCGGGGCCCTGCCTCTTCTATCCGTCGACCTGTCGGCCCGATGATCGAAGGGATTAGCCAAATGGATGACTGTCAAAAGGGCGTGGCGCGGCGCACTGCAACGTGGCCTCGTTCGCCTCGTCAGCGCGCGCGGCCGTGCACGAATCACGTAACACCGGCCCGCGGACTCGCCGTCTCGGAGAGCAATCCATTGGTGGGGTCACACGTTCGGTTCGAGGCCTGTTTAGCGACTCTGGAGCTCAAAACGCGTCTAGAGTTTTGGCCGCCTCACCCGGTCTTCTGGCCCACTGTGCGGAGACGGAGCAAGGCTGCTCCTCGGAACGAGAGTGCAGGGAGTGCAGCGCGGCGCATTCCGCGACACCTCCTAATGAAAGGAACTAAATCGCCTGGCGGACCGGCGACCGACCGACCGTCCGACCGGCGGTGGATTAAAATCGACCTGTTATCGATATCGGATCCTTAACGACCCGACACGGCGCGGCGCGGCACGGCACGGCGCGAGGCGTGCATGCCAGCGATTCGTGATTCGTGACCTACGACACGCCGATTGGCCGCGGTACTGGTTTACGGGCTGCTCTGCCGCCTCGCTGCCTCCTTGGCTGCCTCCTTGGCTGCCTCCTTGGCTGCCTCCTTGGCTGCCTCCTCGGCTGCCTCCTTGGCTGCCTCCTTGGCTGCCTCCTCGGCTGCCTCCTCGGCTGCCTCCTTGGCTGCCTCCTCGGCTGCCTCCTCGGCTGCCTCCTTGGCTGCCTCCTCGGCTGCCTCCTCGGCTGCCTCCTCGGCTGCCTCCTCGGCTGCCTCCTTGGCTGCCTCCTTGGCTGCCTCCTTGGCTGCCTCCTCGGCTGCCTCCTGGCTGCCCCTTGGCTGCCTCCTCGGCTGCCTCCTCGGCTGCCTCCTCGGCTGCCTCCTTGGCTGCCTCCTTGGCTGCCTCCTTGGCTGCCTCCTTGGCTGCCTCCTCGGCTGCCTCCTTGGCTGCCTCCTTGGCTGCCTCCTCGGCTGCCTCCTCGGCTGCCTCCTCGGCTGCCTCCTTGGCTGCCTCCTTGGCTGCCTCCTTGGCTGCCTCCTTGGCTGCCTCCTCGGCTGCCTCCTTGGCTGCCTCCTTGGCTGCCTCCCGGCTCCTCCTCGGCTGCCTCCTCGGCTGCCTCCTTGGCTGCCTCCTTGGCTGCCTCCTTGGCTGCCTCCTCGGCTGCCTCCTTGGCTGCCTCCTTGGCTGCCTCCTCGGCTGCCTCCTCGGCTGCCTCCTTGGCTGCCTCCTTGGCTGCCTCCTTGGCTGCCTCCTTGGCTGCCTCCTCGGCTGCCTCGCTTGCGGGACCGTCCATAAAGAGTTGCAGCGGCTCCATCCCGCGCTTCATCCACGCCGCGGTGCAACGGGGCGGCTAGCCCGGCCAGCTCGGCACGGCACGGCACGGCACGGCACGGCACGGGGGAGACGACGGCCAGATGCAGCAGATGCAGCAGACGGATGGCTCCTCCGCGGCCGCTAATTTATTTTTATTTCCCGCGCGTGATAAAGGTCGACCTTCGCCGTGCCATCCATCGCGGTAACGAAGTCCGCACGCACTCACACACACACGCACGCACGCACGCACACTCACGCTCAGAGAGTCCCATTTACTGGTCGAAACAACCACCCATCCCGGAGTGCGGAGTGAGAAAAGGGAAGGGCAGAAAGCATTCCGCGGAGGAGCTGGAGGCACGGCCAGGCACGGCCAGGCACGGCCGCGCGGCTGGGCTGCGTACTTCCATCGCGACTACTTTCTTATAATGGTGTCGGTTTGTCTCGCGGGACAATAAAGGGTGGCGGTACCGCTGCGTCTCGGCGCGCGGCAGCAACGCGCAGCAACGCGCAGCAAGGAGGGAGGGCATAAGTCATGGCGGCGGCCATCCTTCACGACGACGGCGTCGCGGAGGTCGGCGACGGCTCGGCCGCCTGCTCGGAGGCCTCCGAGGGCCCCGGCGAGCCTGCCGGTGGTCCCTGCGGGTTCCTGGCCAAGCGGACTCTAGCGGGCAAGCGGACCACCATTTAGCTCTGCATGAATGGGCCGGGGCGTCGCGTTGCGTTCCCCGTTGCAGCGCGTCAGGGGCGGATCCAGGGAAGGGCAATCATTCGTCCCGACCGGGGGACAGCCGCCTGAAAGGCACAGCAAACAAGCAGGACTTTACCCCTGCGAATAGGCAAAAAGTGGCAGCTTTGCCCCCTCAGACCGGCCCTGGATCCGCCCTGCACAGCGCATCGCGTCAACCACCAGGCCGCCACAGCCGACGCCACGGCACCACACTGCGAGAAAAAAGCACCGCAGAGGATTTCCGGCCTCCAGCTGCGCGCAGGCGCCTCGGCCTCCTTGGCGCGGAGTCGCCGTCGTTGACAAGCTCGACAGCACGCGTTTGATCTTCGATCGTATGGTGGCGGTGGGGGCGGCGGGGCGGCGGTTCACGGCCCGAACGGGAGGGGAATGAGAGCGAGCAGCATGTAGATGTCTCTGGGGCGCTGCCACCGCGCCAGGCCGCGCCAGTGCGGGGCCGTGCCGCCGTGCCGCCGTGCCGCCGTGCCGCCATGCCGCGGCCGGTGCTCCATAACGAGGCATGCTGCGCCGGCCGCCTCGACGCTTCGTCTTCAGTCAGTGTGCTCACCTTCATGACTTCCACGGCGTCTTCCGGGTCGCCCCGACGCCGCGCCGCCCAAGTCAACACTAGGCCAAGGTGCAGCCCGCCTGTTCCGTTCTGTTCCGTTCACCGTTGCCCGTTTTACACCTTCCATATGGCTCGCGGCTCGCGGCGGCTGCAGCCATGCCTCGCGCTCTTCCCACGGCTGCAGGGCGCCGGCCGACTGATTCCGAGAGTCGTTTCCGTCGATCGTCTCTCTCTCTCTCGCACTCATGGGGCGTTACGTGCAAGTGCGAAAGAGACGGACACACTGGAGACCTGAACGCGCGCGGCCGCAGGGGTCCGTTCCGAGCGGGTGCGAGAGAGACGTCGAGGACTGCACGGCGCGGGGCCTCGGCGCGCTAATCAGCGCCGTGGAGCCTCAGCGACGGCAGCGACAGCCACGGCGACAGCCGCAAAGCGAGGCGAAGAGCGCAGTAATTCGACATACAAATCTCATTTGGCAGCCCCGGCCCGGCCGCGCCACGACGCTCAGCCGCAAACCGACGTGAGACAAAAGAAAGGTGAGACTACCCGTCCCGTCCCGTCCCGTCCGCCTGACGGTCTGACGGCCTGACGGCCTGACGGCGGCCCCGCCGCAGACCTGCCTCTCGACCTGTCGGCCCCTCGGCGCCGCGCCCAAGATCCGCCAGATTTGCCAGGCTAACACGGTGACCTCGAGGTCAGCGTCAGCGCGCTCTTTGCGGCGTGCGGCGCGCAAAGTGTTTCGTCGGGTCGGTGCCGCACTGGTGCCGCGTGCCGCAAGGGGTGGGGGAGGGGGTCGGGGAGGCCCCCAGCTGCTCGGGACAAAGCCAGCCGCGCGTCGAACTGGGGCTGTGGGAGGACTGCACCGTGGGGCCTCGCCGTGGGCCCCGCCCCACAGCCCCACCAGAGGCCAGGGGTCATTTTTGCGCCATTACGGCGGGGCGTTGACGGCGAGCTCCGCAACCGACTGGCGATTGGAAACGTGACGCGCCGCGCAGCGCGCACCCCGCTGCCCCCATTTCGCGTGCAGTCGCGGGGGCGGAGCGCGCAGCCGCGCAGCCAAGCCACTGACGGCGCGGGGCGGGGTTCGAAACCCGCCGCCGCCGTTCGCTTTTCTGCCTCCATGCGCGCCGCGTCCGCGAGGCCCTTCTTATGGATGTAGTCGACGAGGAGAGCGAAAGTCCGCCGCCTGACGCCCCCGACGCGCAGCGCGCAGCGGGACGTTGCACGTGCGGCGGGACGGCGGCGGCCAGAAAAATGCACGCGTCAAGCGGAAACAAAGCCAGTGTGCCAGACGCCAGGCAGCCGGGCAGGGCCGAGCGAGGGGCCGAGCGCAGACAAATCGCCGCCGTCGCCGGGACACGCGGAACACGACCCCGCCGACCGCGGACCGCGTCGGGCCGACCGCGCACCGCGCACCGCGCAGCGCCCCGAACCTCGGCCAACGGGCAGGCCGACGGGCAGGCCGACGGCACGCGGACGCGGCACGCCGCGGAGGTCAAGACCAGATGGCGGCAGGCACTGCCGCAGCCGACGGCAGCCGTGGCGCTAAATAATGAAATATTCAGTCTCAGGCCGCCGGCCGGAGCCACGCTCGGCCGAAAGCGGCGGGAAAGAAGCAAAGAGTCCTCGGTTCACCGCAGGGAAAGAAATGGAAACACAAAAAATGACGACCGCGGCGGTTGCTGGCGTCACGCGGCGCCGCGCATCCAGTAGCCTACTTCGCTCCCCATCGCGACTGTCGCGACCGCCCTGGCTCGACGGAACTGCAAACTAGCTTGGACCGAATTACCGCCGCCTTCGCGCTGCTTCGCGCCCTGCCGCGCCGCCGAGGCCCTCCTTGGCGTGGACATGCTCGCGGTGAGGCTGGACGGCGCGGCCAGGCGGTGCTGGCGGTGCGTGCGGCGAGGGCTCGCCAGGGCCCGCCGTCTCGCACGTCGCTCCGTCTGACCCTTGCCGCCGCCGCCCAATTCGAGGCCCTGTCCAAAGTGGCGGGGCCCAAGTGGCGGGGCCGCGAGCCGCAGCGCGCCGTAGAAGGAGGACCAAGGGCCCCGTCCAGGCCGACTC